AACGTGATCTACAACGGCTGGTGAGCACACATGATGCATACAGCGTAGAGAGCACTGTAATAGATACTGTGTCTAACACAAACTATCTTGGTATAGTTCTGTCGTCAAACCGTCGTACTTGGTCATCCAATATTTTGTCAATCTCTGCAAGAAAATCTTCCATCTAAACTACTACTATATTAGGAAGCTAAGACAATCTGAAACCGCTCATCCTCTGATTTTATAATTTGTAAACTCGTGCATCCTACCTACTGTACTTTACTGCTTCCCCTCAGTCTCTTCTGGTCTACTGAAGAAGGATTATATCGTTTTGAGAAGGGTATTAAAAAGATTGTCAGTAGAGAAAACTACTGAATAATTTAGCTTGTTACTACATTGGTTGACAGACACCTGAACTCATGTGAGAAATGATCCAAATCCATTTTGTTTAATTCTCAATACCCGCCCTTATTCTCAGCTCTCCTCTTGCTGTATGGCATCTGGTAGCACTAGAAGTCAGTACAAAAGAATTATATGCTCGTACTACCAAGTATAGGAACACAACGATACCATATTTGACCAGGCCGTGTTCTATGCGATAGAGACAGTGTAAAGCGCTGAAGATATGAATTACTATCTTGATAGCAAAATAATGAGTTCTTTTTTTATCTTTTATTCGTAATCTCAACTAACCAACAATCTTAGCTGCTAGCAGTATTATTATTATTCATAATTTCTTGTTTGTTTATGATTTTACTGTCACTAGAGATACTAAATATAACAACTGCCATTAATAATCCTGTTATGTTATTGTTATGACTGTTATTGTTTTTAATGTCCTCTGATGAAAAATTGGATGCAGTACTGTAACAAAGACTGAGAATTCCAGACTGTCGCATTAGTACTGTTTTGGAATAAAGCCAATTGTTATTGTTATTTAGAAAAACCACGACTAGAATTATCGCTGCTTCACCTCTGCAATGATATAGTAATAACATACGAAGGATTTGAATAGTTAAGAGCCAGCATGATATTATTATTCATATTATTATTGTTTCCTTTAATTCCTAGAGGAACATGGGGCTTCAGCCGTGCGTCTACATTGCGTTCGGTTCTCCGCCAACGTTTTCACCTGGCTCCAAGTCTGCCCACACGCTTTCATCTCCTCTTTACATGACCTCCTCTAAGTCACCCTCATAGTGACAATCAACTCGCAGCTTCCATTTCATATTCCACTCGACAGCTTTTCTAGTGATGTCACTTGATGTTTTCTCAGAGTATGGCCAATACACCTGCATTTCTTCCTGCATATTTGTTTCACAATCGGTTCCTGGTTGGTTCGCTCCCAGAGATCCCTCCCTGTTGCTGATCTTTTCTGACCGGCCATCTGATCTTGAGTAGTATTCAGCGAACACAGCTGTTAATGAAGGTCTGTAATTTGTTTGAGGTGGTCTTTATGACGCGCCAAGTCTCTGATCCGTATATTAGCACTGACTTCACATTGGAGTTGAAAATCGGGATCTTATTTTTGATGCTGAGTGCTGTTGACGTTCACACAGACTTGAGAGTAGTGAAAGCTTGTCTTGCTTTTCCGATTCTTGCTTTGATATCCTCCTCAGTTCCGCCTGTAGTTGAAACGATGTTTCTCAGGTAGGTAAAATAGGTTGTTTCACGTCTCCACTTGCTTCTCTCTTCTGCTGTACTTTACACGTGCATCCATGTTAGTCCATACTGTTCCAGATCCTCTTCACACGATCTCCTCCATGTCACCCTTGCACCGACGAACCACTCGCCGCTTCCCTTTCCGCTTCCACTCGAGCGTTGGCCTGACACGCGATGTCACCCAGCGGCCTCCTCAGCGAGTGTCCAGTCCATTTCCACTTTCTCCTGCATATTTGTTGCGCGATTGGTTCTTGTTTTGTTTGTTCCCATAGTTTCTTGTTGGTTCTTGTTCTTTCCGGCCATCTGATCTTCAGTATAGAACGAAGACAGTTGTTGATAAAGGTCTGCAACCTGTTGGAAATATTCTTTGTGATCCGCCAATTTTCTGATCCGTATTGGAGAACTGCCTGACTTGACGTTTGTATTGGAAATCCGAATTTTGTTGTTGATGCAGGCTGAGTGACGAAGATTTCCAGATTGGTTTCAGGTTGATGAATGTGTTTCTCGTCTTCGCGATTCTCGATTTGATATGCTTCTCTGTTCCTTCTGTAGTTGGGACAATGCTCCCTAGATAAGTGAATGAAGTAACCTCTTTCAAATCCCTCCTGTTGATGGTGACTGGCGCTTGATGTTGCTGCTGCTGTTGTTGTTGGCTGGTTATTTTCATAACCTCCGTCTTGTCTATGTTCACCTGGAGTCCTGTCTTTGCTGCTTCTTTGACGAGTTTGTCGGTTTTCGCTTGTAAGTCTTTGATTTTGTGTGACATCAAACATACATCATCCACGCGCGAAATCCAGGTCTTCTCGGTTCTTCACGTAGGTCCACGATATCCCTGTCTTCTCGTTTCCCACTGTCTGACGCATAATCCAGTCCACCACAATTAGGAATATCATTGGTGATAATAAGCACCCTTGTCTGACTCCTGTGTTTACTCCAAACGCTTCGCTGAGTTTTCCGTTGTGAATCGCTTGACATGTGCCGTTGTCGTACAGTTGTTGAATAAGGTTGATGAATATTTGGGGTACGCCGTAGTACTCGAGTAATTTCCAAATTACTTCGCGGTCAACGCAGTCGAAGGCCTTCTCAAAGTCTATGAATTTGAGGTAGAGGTTTGATTGTCATTCCACGCTTTGTTCAATGATGATGCGTAGAGTTGCAATTCGGTCAGAACATGATTTGCCTTTCCTGAATCCAGCTTGTTCTGGTCGGAGTTCTCTATCCAGTGCGTCCTTTATTCTCTCCAGGATGATGTGACTCAGGATTTTACTTGGCGTCGACAGGAGCATGATTCCTCGCCAGTTCTTGCAGAGTCCTAAGTAGCCCTTCTTTGGTAGTTTCACGAAGGAACCTTTCCTCCAGTCAATAGGCACCTTTCTCTCCTTCCAGACCTTTTGCAATAATGGATTCAGCACATCTGCTGTCGTCTCTGGGTCCGCTTTCAGTGCCTCAGGGGGGATTCTATCTGGTCCAGCTGCTTTTCCAGCTTTCACAAGCTTGATTGCATTCAAGACTTCAGTTTTCGTTGGAGGATTGGTGTCAACTTGCAGTTGTGTACGTGCTGTTGTTGGTATTTCTGGACGGGTTGCAGGTGATGGTCGGTTCCACAGTCCTTTGAAGTGGTCCGCCCATTGTTTAATCTGTCTTTCTTCCTTGGTAATTGGGTTCCCTTGGCTGTCTTTTATAGGTTTCAATTGTGTTGATCTCTTCGCGGATAGAGACTTGGTTATCTCATATAGTGGCCTTAGGTCCCTTTTGCCTGCTGTCTTCTACGGCATGTTTTCGTAGAATTATCTTTTGTCCTTTCTCGCACTCTTCTTCACTTCTTTGTCCAGTGCTGTGTAAGTTGAACTCAGCGTCTCTTTCTCTTGTCCGTCTTTGCATTGAGTCATTTTCTCTTTCACCATTTTCCTTTCTCCTATTAGCTTCCAAGTATCCGTTGAGAGTCATTCCTTATCTTTTCTCTTCCCTCTTCCCAAAAACGTTGAACGCGTTTCGTTGAAAATTACCTTCATAGAGTTCCAATGGTCTTCCACGCATGATTCCTCAGTGGTGCCACATAGTGCTTCCTGCTTTGCTCTGACAATTGCAGTGAAAATGTCCTGTGTGATTGTGTCCTTCAGCTTTTGCGTGTTGAACTTGCATTGTGGCCTATCCCCAGCTATCCTCGAGGCTTTCAGCTTCATCTTGAAAGTCCCTTGTACTAGATAGTGGTCTGAACCCACATCTGCTCCTCTCCTCGATCTTGTGTCCAGTAGGCTCCGTCTCCACTTCCTTGAGATTGAAATGAAGTCTGCCTGGATTTTGTGTGTCCATCTATGGAAATCCATGTTGCCTTGTGTATATCCTTGTGTTTGAACACACTGCCACCAATCACCAAATCATTGAAGACGCAGAAGTCTGAGAAGAGTTCACCATTGTCGTTTATTTCACTGAGGGCCTCGCGGCCCATGGTGAGTTCTCTTCCTGTATTGTCTCCCCCCAGCTTCGCATTCATATCACCCATCAGGATTTTGATATCGCCATTTGGGACATTGTCCATTACTGCTTGTAGTTGTCTGTAGAAGGCCTCCTTCTTCTCTTTTTCTGAGACGTTTGTAGGCGCATAGCATTGAATGATTGTAACCTTCCTTCCTTTTGAATTGAACCTAGTTGTCATTATCCAGGAGGAGGTCCGTTCCCACTGCATGAGAGCTTTGGCTGCTGTTGGTGACATAATTATGATGGCTACTCCGTCGGTGTGCTCGTGATCGTCCTGTGGGTGACCGGAGTAGATTATTGTCTCTCCAGTTGGTAGTTGGCTCCTTCCACATCCGTTCCATCTGCACTCACAGATTCCCAACACTCCTATAAATAGAATACTTCTATAAATATTGCATTGTTTTCTAAATAATGAAAACATTCCCGCTGTGTATGACATTTTCTCAAATTAATTATTAGACTTGCGAAAGCAATAACACTGCTAAGACTAGTATGTACGTAGACGATGTATCGCTTTCTATTCAAATATTTGGCTTTGTTCAATGTTCAAAACATGTTGTTGTTTTTAAAAATTTATTCATTATTATTTTTGCATAATGTCTCGACTAATTTGACTGATTGGAGTTGAGCACTTCACATGACTACTAATGAATAGTAATCAAAGAATACAGACGTTCTACGAAACAAATTAGACTGAGTAAACTTATGAAATGACAGTGGCGTGTTTACTGATAAATCAGCCAAGTAATCAGTTATCTTTGTCTCAGTTTGTTCCCCCTGTCTCACAAAAAACACATGACGGATTGTTTTTACCATGTGTTATTTACTAGAAAAAGGTATATATATACAACCAGAGACAGTCGTGTTGTAAATCAGAGAGAAACAGAGTTCAGACTGTTCTCACTTTTCTTCTGAAAGCACTTATACAACGAATAAGAATGATGATGTTCAACTGGCTGGTTGTCGTTCTCTTTCTGCAGGCCTATGGTAAGGAACACGTATTCCTCTTTTTTCTCTCATAAATATCATAAATTGCATTTCCGATTTTATTTAACGTACTGTTTTGAATATAAATCCTCATTTTCTGTTCATATTAGGTATGAGAGATGCTATTTTAGTTGATAATAGTCAACAAGGAGGATGTAGGATGCTCATTCCCTTCTTACATTTACGTCTGTTAAGAGGAAAACTTTACTACAGTTAGCGACTTGGACTCCTGTAGTCGGAATATTGTAAGTGTTGGGTGATACTTAAGACAGGATTCAAATAACCGCACTTACTAAATACTTTACCTAATCTGCAAGTACTAACCAAGGAAATCAAAGTAAAAAGACTTGAGACTGGAAGTGTGCCTTAAAGGGAGTTGTATTTTTTCACCAGTGAAATGTCAGTTTCTAATAAATAAAGATGTTATACAACTTATCTGATGCCTCGACTGGATAGTAAGCTCGAAGAGTGCACTGAATGATAGATACCACACTAAGAGAGCGAACCACATGTTTACAGTCACGTCGGAAAGCAAAAGATGGTGTGGCGCCAAAATTGAGTGAATGCATTAAAACAAAAAATTCAAAGGTTCAAGGTACCCTACAATATAAACGTTTCATTAAATTTTATGTGATGTGAGTAATGAATTTGAAGGAATTTTCGTTTAGAGCACTCCAAAGCTTGTAAAATGTTGTAGTACAATGGAAATATTCAAGAACTTTTTCTTAGTTCTTATCATCAGAGTGTATTACTAGACTGATCTAGTAATGTAGGGACAAGATGTGGAGTGATTTAGTTAAACAAAAGTCTACTGAAAATACGAAATTAATTGAACATTTCGGGAATCCAAGCTGTTCAGTCATTTGTACTTTGGTTTATTTGAAAAAGCTTTCAATTCTGAGTTATTTCAATACACATATACAAAGAGATTATTTAGCTGAACAATCTATATGTAGCTCGAAGGTCAATGAACCTATGCATTAACACCGTATTACAAATAAAGTTGACATAAACTTTGTATAACATTTTTAAGAAGGCATATAGCCTTAATAAATAGTTTGGTACTCATTGCTATCGAGCATTAAAATACACTGGCGCCGGATTCAAATTATGGTGTATGATAGATACATAATCGATTGCCATGTTCAACGAATGTAACGCTAATTTCTAGTCATTTGGAACATCAAAGTATTTCTTTCGTTGTTGATGAAAAAGCGATTTCAGTTATTTTGTTGAAACTTATGAAGTTGTTTGAAATGTGAATTGAATATTTTCGCATAGAATATTAATTAAAATCTTTTTTCAAACTACTGAATTTCAGATTACGTATATGCTGGTAAGTGGATCTACGTTCATTAAAGGAATCACAATAATACAATTTGTTGAAACAATTGTTCATACTCGGTCAGTAGTAGTTTTGAATATCCAGAAGCTTTCAATATATATAGTGCGAAAACTGTTCAACAAGCTGACTTGGTATTTTTGATTGGACACTAGTTAGTACCTAGTTTAATCTGTCCAGTCCTATCTTTGGTGCAGACTGAATTCTATCAGTCAAGCTTGCAATGTGGCCACCATGCTACTAGATGGCTCACCATCACGGTGCACTGTGAATTTTTAGTATTAGATGGTTGAAGGCAATTGTCCACAAGAAGCCTTCCACCAACTAGGTATCCTGCTAGTTAGCACTCACCAATCAACCAGTGGGGCTGCAGTCAAAGAGGTTACCGCTGATAGGACTAGACACATGACACTAGTTACTGACTAGTGTCTCATCAAAAATATCCAATACATTCCTACAGGAGTTCAGTGGCGAGCCAGCATGAATAGCTCAGTGGTAACGTCTCTGACTGCAGCACTGGATGACACGGATTCGATTCTCAGAAGGAACATGACTTCCTACGAGGTTGCAGATACTCCTTGCTGACTGATTTTGATGAGTGCCAACTAGCACGATACCTAGTTAGTGCAAGGCTTCCTTTGGCCGATCGCCTCCAACTATCTATTACCAACAAAGCTGGCTTGCTGTCAAGTTAACCCAGTACTTTTATAGATATTTAACATTATTAAGGCGATGATATTAGGATTTCCTTAAAAGCAGCAAATGGAAGGAGATATTTAACAGTGATCTGATCGTGGACGTGAAAGCAGATCAACACTTATGATCTTCTTTGAATTTTGATTAAGGTTCTTTTGGATGATTGATTTGGTTATCCACATTTTGCGCTAATAAGTTTCATGAATGCAAATAGTTCTCATTGGAAAATGACCACTTCCATTTTTGCATTTGAATGGACGTATTTCCAGAATATTTTTCATTCACAATCATATTATGCTACTTATATATTTTACCAAACTTTAAATATAATTTAGCCGAAGAGTGGGATGTTTTCGGTGAGTTATTCTACACTTATGGATTTGTATTATCAAATAGTGAGACACTATTTATTGAACAATGGGTTATTAATTGATTCGTTCCAGGAGTTTCTTGTTCATGATTCCTTCCAGCCAGTCGGTAATCTAATCTTCAGATTGGAGTAGGTGAATGGAGCAGCTGTTCATAAAAGTATTCAGACGCCTGTTTTACATTCTCTTCGTGAAGCTCAGTTCACGTTTCTCACACATAGAGATGGACTCAACAAACAATGGTGTTGAAAATGAGAATTTAATTCATCGTACTGAGTTGAGGAGATTTCCTGAATGAATGTTTTCAGAGGGATGGCTTTGGCATTCTGGTTTTGACATCCCCCATTGGCACCATCTGCCAGTATTTGAAATAATGCTGTCTGGATACCTGGAGAATGCAACTTCGCTCAAACTTCTCTCGTTGACATTAATTGATGCTTGTTGTTGTTATTGGTGGTCGGTTATATTCATCACCTTCATCTTCTGCGGGTTCACTTACCATCCTGTATTTGGTGCTTCTTCCGCCAGCCGGTTGGTTTTCGCCTGTATGTCTCCGAGTTTGTTTGACACTAGACATGTACCATCCACGAAGTGCATATCTTCTAGATTCTTCCTGTCGTTGCAACGGATTCCCTTCTTCCCACTGCACACACAAACACACTGTCTTATGTATAATCTAGTTCACCCGAATGAGGAATATCATTAGTGATTGTGGATCACTTGACATGTGACATTGTCGTACTGTAACAACAGAAGACAAGGGCCAGGCAACAGTACTTTTATTACGGAAAATCAACACATATTTATAGATTTTGATGTACATTATTGTAGGTTAATGTTAGTAGAAAATACAGTCTGTTGATTGGTTGTTTCTCACACAAAGTTAACCTTGCATCTCTTGTGGCTGTGTCAGTTCATCTATATGTTAACTGTATTCGCCTGTCCATCTTGACCTTGTTTTCACATGACTAACATTGGCCTCAATTACTGTCAACCAATTTGGCTAGCAACCATCTCTCACCACAGTACTGCTACTGAATGACATTATCTAGAGTTTCGGCGCACGATTTCAGAATTGCTTCATGACAGATTCTGTCAAGGTTCTTTTCAAGGTCACACATGAAACTGATGTGGAGATTTAACTACCACTCCATTCTGTGTTCCATCATGACCATGCGTAGAGGATTTAAGTGTAGAATTCATGAAAATGGTGTTTTTCTCATCTAAACCTGCAGAAAATTCATATTTTGTTTTGTGTGAAGAAAACTTGTGGCATGGAATTACGACTCAGGGCTACTGAGATGAAACTTACCCCTTACAGGATGATGTGATCTCATATGACGGAAAGTAATGTAGCTATATACCTATCGACTAGATTTTCATTAAAACTAAGGGAAAAAAGTTATTCTGCACTACAGTGCATTTTCGCCTGTGTAATTTATTCATAATATACTACAGAGTTACTTAAGTGGTTGTTAATGCGTTGACAGATAACTCCTACCTTAACTGACATGACTGTGAATATACTTCCTTAACTGACACTGATCAACGGAGGACGAGAATGCCTAAAGTTAACTTTCACACTGGCGTTGTTGTGACAAGAATTACCAAGAGTATACCTCATTTGAAATCAGCTAAAATACTTATTTATCTGTTTTCGTTTTGCAGACGACAAATGTAAGAATAAGGATGTTTTATTGTTGGTTTCTGATTCATCTTGCTTTATAATTCCATATTAGTTTGTTTATTACATATGTGTATATCACACAGTGAAATAGTATTATTTGCTTGATGACATTTCTGACGTTACTGATGTCTCTCTCAGACATATAGAGAATTCCCCTACCTTCATGACAACTGCAAAAGAATAAAGAAAACCATCAAACTCAAGTTTCGAAGTTCTATGATGATAATTGGTGATATGATTATGAACAATAATGAATTGTGTTCGAAACTTTGTCATCCAGTAAATAATACTGTTTTACTCTGTGTGTGACATTTATGAGAAAGTGCTTTTGCTCCTACCATCTAGAAGCCTGTTCAACTTCTTGTCTAGATGCTATGCCATGGGTCCTACAGAAATTTGTGAGACATCTTACAGTTCAGCTTGTCCTACGATTTCTAATCCTCCAGGTCTTTGAATTCACCTCTCACTGAAATATCACTTATCTAGCCCACGATAATCTTATTATGTACGCACTACTAAACTCTATTTGATCTTAACTACCTAGGCCTTTCTTTATTAAAGCTAAAACTTACTCTTTTGCTCATATTCGTCGTTTGCTTACAGTCTGGGTGCTTTGATGAGAAAAACACAGCAATAACACCAATGTTTGAACAAAGCTTCACTTTCATCGAAAACATCATAGTTTCCATACTAAGACCAATATATACGCTTAGCATTAAACATTAAAAATGTATACTCTCATCCAAGGAGTCTCTACCTCTTTTTTATGTATATATATCTTGTAAATGCACTTTCAATGATGTATAATCCGTAATTGTATTTTAAACCATGTTGCTGTTTCCCAGAAGGTTCTTCTCTTCCTGCAATAGCTTTTGTTCATGTGGCGGCATATAGCACTTACCCAAATTTACGCTGTCCACTGGTTGAGCATAACTATCAGCAGGAAATGGGACGAAGTTTAGGTTGTCGCTTAACTTTGATGGTCAAGAGTTTAAAATTTTACATTGATAAGAATCCGTTTATTAATTTTACTTTATCGTCTGGCCTTTTAAATGAAATCGAAATTGTATTGCATTGTAAAACACAGGCAAAGAAAAATGCGAGATCTGTAAGTTAACACTCTAGAGAGCAACCTTCATTAATTTCACTTTGTTTTATCACATCAATTACTATCCTGTGAAACATACAAAAGTTTTGAAATTCTTGCTGGGATAGTTACAATAATCATAGTATTATTAGTAATAATAATGTTATCTGAATAAAAATACCCATTAAAATTATTTTTAAAAGAATGATTTGGCAACTCTAAACAATAGGAACCGAAAATGAAACGACCTAGGAACGTACAAATGACCTTGGGCAACCGATCAGGTGACTGCTTTTTCCAGCAATAGGTTTTGGGGATATATGACACCAGCCTCCAGAGAGGACATATTGAGGCAACCCCTAAGCGCAGGGCATGTCTACCATTGCCTGTTATCTAGAGTTTAGTGCTGCCTGGGATGACTATTGTCGTTTTTTTTGAGCCTTCTGATTGGTCCTTGACGAGGTCATTGGTGCGTTCGTAGGTCGTTTCGTTTTGGGTTCATATTGTTTAGAGTTGCCAATGATTCCTGAACGGAGAATATTCTTTTCGATAACCTGCTTATGATCATCAGGTTCTACAGTTATATATCCATCCATAATAGTGAATGAATGAACGAATTAGCGTTATTAACAACACTAATGCTGTTTAAATAACATCGAACCAGTAATATCATTTGGGTCCGATTTTGGAAGATTTCTTTTTAAGTAAACTAGAAAATGAACCTTTGAACAACCACCTTATCAGAAAATTGTCATTTTATTGCCGGTATATGGATGACACCTTTATTCTTTGTGATAATGATACGGACAGGAACACAATAATAACTCAATTCAATGAAGTACATTCTGCTATGAAATTCATGTGCGAAGAGGAATCCCAAATTAGAATCGATCACCTTCCTAGATGTCCTTATTACAAGAAAACCAGATGGTAGTATAAAGAAAAATTTGCATAGGAAAAGCACATGGACTGGACAATATACACATTTTCATAGCTTCGTTCCTCTCCGGTAAAAAAGAAATTTAGTAAGGACCCTCAGCCAAAAGGTTAGATCTATATGCTCGGAAGAGGTAATTGAAGATTAACTAAGGAATGTATATGACACCGTAATTGAAAATAGTGCACAGAGAAGGGACTCAGAGTCTGACAAGATGATGCTTGTTAATTTATTGCATGAATTCAAGTGTCAGTCCCCAACATAATTAACGACTTGGTTTAGCGACACACCACTCACCCTGCTGACAGCTTTTAGTGCACTTATCAGTGCAACAAAATCTGTCTTCACTAGTCGAGGAGAGGTTAGAGGGGATCAGTACAGACGAATAGGTAGAACACAAGAATTAGCAAACTGTATGATTATATGTATATATGTCTGATTTCCCACAAACTGGAAGATATGCAAGTGAAAAGCAACAAGTTGGCGGAAGAAGCATCTAGAGAAGATAGGACTTCAGGTGAACACAGAGAAAACAGAGGTGATGAAGATTATTGGACAACAGCAACAGCGACAACAACAACAGACATTAATCAGCATAAATGGAAGGAACCTGAAAGAAATAACATATTTTACCTACCTGGGAAGCATCGTTTCAACTACAGGTGGAACTGACGAGGAAATCGAAGCAAGAATCGGAAAAGCAAGTCTGTGTGGAGATGAGATGGCCAGAAAAGATCAACAGTAGGGATCTCTGGGACCAAACCAACCCGGAACCAATTGTGAAACAATTTTGCGAGAAGAAATGCAGATGGACTGGCGATACTCTGAGGAAACCATCAAGTGACATAACTATACAAGCCATTGCTCGTGTGGAACCCGAACGGGAAGCGGCGAGTTGGACATCTGTGTTTGGGTGACTTGGAGGAGGTCATGTGAAGAGGAGATGAAAGCATGTGGGCAGACGTGGAGGCAGGTGAAAACGTTGACAGAGAACCGAACTCAATGGAGATGTTTGGCTGAAGCCCTATGTTCCTCTAGGAATTAAAGGGAATAATAATAATGGTTAGAGACCGAGTGATGCCTAAATGACTTGACTTGCTCAATTAGAACGTTGAACAAAATATCTTTCTAATCAGTACCATGAAGTGTGAAGTTCTGGGAAGATCAAAGGAAACATACAATCCACGGTTTTAAGATTCGACTTAGTTTTCAATCCAGTGCCTTCAATGATTTAAGAATTATGAAAAAGAACCTGAGCTTATGAAGATCGCCTGTATGTGAAAGTGGAATCAACAGCCCGACAATTGAAGAGATTTAGCCTAAGACCATCTGAAAAGGACCACTGACTAACATCTGATGCTACGTTATGTACTTTAGAACAATCTGGCAGCGAAGTAGTCGGTATAAAAACAGTCAGGTCATTGACGTACTTAAATAAATTAGCTTCTGATGTGGTTGTGTTCTCTGAGCTGGATAGTTAATTTGCGAAGCTTCAAATTGAAGTAGGCGCTGAAGATGTTGCCTAATATGGCAATGCAAACTTCGCAAATTAACCATCTAGCTCAGAGAACAAAACCACATCAAAAACATCCACCTGAGCTGTAAATCTTCTCCATCATATCTAAAATTGGCTTCATGAGTATGCGGTTAGTCATGTACGAAGTGAGAGAACAGAAAAGGAGAAAGAACAGCACCATTAAGGAACATCGGCTGGAACAATTGAAACAGTGAAGGACTTCCTATTATAAAAGTAAGAATGCAACCATTTACTCATTCAGCCTCACAACTGATTGTCGTATTTAACGTTTAAGTCTTCTGAGTCGTGAATACTCACCATATTCATTTATGAATTTGAACAAATCGGTTTTTCTAAACTCTTGATCGTTTAATCAATTATATTAAGTCTCCTCACTGACAACTTTTAGCGCCCAACGTGGTGTATCAAAGACTTTCTTCAGTAGTCGAGGAAAATAACGATATAGAGACACGAAATTACGAAATATTTTTCCAGTCACTAACATGAATTGGGGTCACAGGTCACAGGAAATACTTTTATGAAAGAGATGGACCAATTTATTGACAGAATGAAACCCTTAATATAGTTTCGTATGCGTTTAACGGAAGTTGACTGGAGAGATAGAGACCTGTACGGAAGAAAGTCATTAGTTCTTCTATTTTAGAACAGTCTCAATAAATTGGTTTCCATTCTTTGCAACAATGATTTAATCCAGGCTTTCATTATATGGATTTCGCACTAAATAATCTATCACTTCATTCAAAGACTGGAATCATACTATTACCAACAACCAATTACTCAATTTTATTGCAGACACTTGGGCTAGAAAAGATTGTGAGTTTATCTTTTGTTTAAAACAATAAGTGGACCAGTGTTTTGACGTAACAGCAAATCAATGGACTGATATGTGTTTATAACTACTCAAGATTTAATTTGTACGGATGTGATTTCTTTCAAATTGGAGAGTCGCAGAGAGCTAGCGTGGAGTACTTGACAGCTGCTTTATCGTAGTTTGAGATTCCTCAACGATTCATACCCTCCGAAATTCAAACGTAGGACACTGCCGTGGCAAAGCAGGCTTGTAGACCATTCAGTTACTGAGAACCAATCAACTTTCACCAGTTCATGTCTCCGTCCCGTGAAATCCATGTTGCATTGTATATATCCTTGTGTTTGCACACGCTGCCTCCGATAACCAAATCACTGAAAACGCAGAAGTCTGCGAATAATTCTCCGTTCTCATTCGTTCCCTCGAATGAGAGCCTCTCAACCCATCACGAGTTCTATTCTTGTATTATATGTTCCTAGTTTGGCATTATTATCTCCTATGAGGATTTTGATGTTACTATTTGAGATGTTGTCCATTACTGTTAGTAGTTGTCTGTAAAAGTCTTCCTTCTTCCCCACTGGTTCCGCGTTGTTTTCAGCACTGTTTGTAGCATTGGATAATTGTGACCCTCCTTCCTTCCTTTTGAGTTGAATCTTGCTGTCACGGTCCTGCATGATGAAATTGGTTCCCACTGCACTAGGGCTTTGGCTGCCACTGGTGGAATCATGATAGCCACTCACCACCACGACTACTGTTCGGGTGACCAGACCCGGGTGGCTTACTGGCTCTCTAGTAGACACTTTTGATAATCCCCGCCCATTCCATCTGCTCTCGCGGATACCCAGCAGTTAAATGCCATACCTCCGCATTTCTTTGGATACCTGTACAGTCATCCCAGCCAGTCTTGTACATTCTACGGACATTCCTCGTACCCATTCTTATTTTCGCTTTCATCGCTGGAAGACACATAGGCTTCCTATAGGCTTTCACCAGCCCGCTGTTTCATTTCGCCTCTCCAATCTGAGCGAAGAATAAGATTGTTATTTGCATTTTTTGTATTGTTAATATATTTTCTGCACGTTGTAGTTTCACTAGCGAACTCGTTAACTAGGCGAGGTTTGCACAGTTTCTACAGATTTACTATTTCAGGCTGTGAATATACATTCCAGAGTTTTAGACGGATAAAAATGATCTTAGTAATAAAATGCGATGGGATTTATTCAGGGTTAATCTTTATTCCTGTCACCTAGTTGACTGTTGATTTGCTTAATGTTATTATTATTATTAACATTCTGAAACTCTTATTCTCATTTTTGTGTTCTGATATTTTCAATTCAGGTGGCAGGCTGTGTTCAGCAAGTTAGTAAATAGAAATAAAGAAACAGATTATTTTGATGGAATCTAAAGTATTAAAATGAACTGATTTCAATCACATAAGGCAATTGTAGAACTTAAATCCTATCGACAGTAATCAATCACTACTAAGAGTACTACTGAAATCAAATAAAATGTATTTTATAGTAGTGCATTAAATGTTAAATTTATCAAAACTTAAATGGTCCTTTCTATAAAGATCCTGATAATCTTGTTCCACAGAAAATCATGATTTTGACTGGTAGCACGAATAGTGAGTGGGATTAAAACTACCTTAGGATTTCACTGGAACATACAGCATATCTTCATTCTCTCCCGTTCTCTGCAGTTGACTTCAGGTGGATCCACAGTTGCCAAATGTCTGTAGTCTCCTCTATGCATGATACGCTCCATATCACATATGGACTTACATCTCATCCGTTGCTTCACATTAGGGCTCCTCTCCAGAACCTACCTTGAGCACGATGTCATCCAGTGGTATCTTCACAGGGTGTCCGATCCATCCGCATTTCCTTATTATTATTGTATTGACCAACAGCTTATTGATTGGCTCGTTCTTAGATTATCTTCTTCATAATTCATTCTGCCGAGCTGGCTATCCGATCCTCAGTACGGAGTAAGTGAAAGGGACAGCCATTCATAAAAGTATTCAGACGCCTCTTGGACATTCTCTTCGTGACGCTGAGTGTATGTTTCTCACCCGTAGAGAAGAACTCGCTTAATGAATGATTTCAGAGTGATGAAGGTCTGTTTTGACATACATTTGATCTTTGGTCAACTTATTTGGTTCTAGAATACTTATTTTGTTATTGAGGGTCTACTGGATCTGTTTATGTGTCTAATGGGATTGTTGAGGAAATTTCGAGTTATTATTGTTAAGACAAGCAAGTAGTCTGCAACTAAGTTGGTCTACACTAAAACGCCGAGTTGATATGACTCACAAGACTGATAACAAAACTGCTTTCAAAGTAATCTATAGAAACCGTTAGGTGTGCATACTGAAAAACGAGAAAGCGCTAGGTATTAGTAAAGTTATCACCCTCGTCTTGTGTGCACGAGTATAATTTAGCAATGTCCTTAACATATTTTAATCGCAACACTACGAACATCGCTGAACAGAGCTTGGAGTGGCAGTCACTTCTCTATCTCAACTGCATAGACTTTGAAAGGCCTTTGACAGCTTCGATTGCGAGGTGCTTTGAAACCACTTCGCTGCTATGTGGTGCCATCAACAGTTTCACATCTCATCCAACAGTTGTACGACAATGCTGCGTGCCAATTAATCCACAAAAAGGAAACTCACGGAATACTTTGAATTGAAGACGGGAGAAGGACACGGAAGGCTGTCTACTATCTCCAATGATTTTCCTGATTGTGGTAGACTACAAAGTTCGACAGGCAGCCGGTAGCTGGGAAACAGACATAAAATAGACACACACAAAACAAAGTTGGAGGATTTGAACTTCGCCGATGATATCTCTCTGATTTTCCACAAACTGGAAGATATTCGAGTGAAAAGCAACAAGTTGGCAGAAGAAGCATCCAGAGAAGATAGGACTTCAGGTGAACATAGGGAAAACCGAGGTGATGAAGATTATTGGACAACAGCAACAGCAACAACAACAAACATTAAAATTATAATAATTAAAATACCTTGATTATTCTAATTAGGTTATATTACCAAAAGCAGTGACACTTATTATCCTTAATGCAAGTGTAAAACTTTGGCACTGTGGTAGAACGTAATTCCGCAATAGAATCACCAACAAGAGACTATAGGAACGAAAAAAACAAGAACCAATCGCCCAACAAATATGCAGGAGAAAGCAGAGATGGATTGGACACTCGCTGAGCTGAGGAGGCCGCTGGGTGACATCGTGCGTTAGGCCATCGAGTGGAACCCGAAAGGGAGGTGGCAAGGGTGACATGGGGGAGATCGTTTGAAGAGGAGTTGAAACAGTATGGCATAACATGGATGTAGGTGAAAAGTACAACATAAGACAGAAGCAAGTGGAGACGTACAGTTGAAGCCCTATGTTCCATCCACTAGGAACCCAAGGGAATCATAATAATGCAATAATGTTTTGAGTCAATGCTGGTCAATTCGCTCTTTTTGACATCAATTCTATCTCTCCACTATTTGATATTTTTGTGTACCGATGAGCGTCGCTTTAAATATACTACTCATAAGTCTTATCAGTAGCACACACCACAGTGTGTAAAATGATTCTGTATTTTCACTTTCTTCTTCAGCAACCGGTGCACAAAAATTCTATTGTAAGTGTCTTATTATTGTGGCGGTAATGAAAGTTGTATAAATTAAGTGTTTTTTGTACTTATAAGTGTTTTTCCGTCAGAGAGACTCATATGAAATGATTATTTATACTAAATTTGGGGCATTATTTTGTATGTGTTCCTGGGAGAAATCACAAACTTTAATAAGAATCACGTTGACAAATGAGTCAGTTTAAAAATCAAGTTGTTTCTGTTCCATTGCTAAAGTCCCCAGTGGAACACGGGGGTTCAAGCTTTTGAAATTTCAATAACGTTGATTTTATTCTACCCAAGTGAGGTTGCTACTCTCAAGAAGTACTTCCCCTGCTTCCCGCATTTGTAACTAACTGACGAAGCGATGTCGCCTAACAATTGAACCTAAAATGTGTGTGCGTGTGAATAAAGAGCATTCTACCCCTCAGCCACCGATGCATCACTGTAGGTTCAAACGATAGACGATAAGATTTTAAAATTCAAAACTCCCAATGTCAAGGAACTTAACTCTAAGTTCCTATTATTTCCAAAGACGCCCGAATTGAAAATTATACTATGTACAATATCGACTTTAACTGCAAAACACAAGGAATGACAAGAAATTGTATTCTTCGACAGTTAAAATCAATACTCTGTACTAAGTCTATAAACAGATGTTTTACAAGGAATTTATCGTGGTTTTATCCGTATTCTTTCGTCTTCTTCTTCCAACTTGTACACAATCGAATCATTCGTGCCTTCAAGTTGCCCGCGAATGGCGACCAAGGCCAATGAACAAATGTTCAATGTTCACAATCATTGACACCTAGTTTGTTTTACACACACACTTTTGGATTTGTTTTTTCGGAGATAATTTTGATTTATTCTCACCTTTTTGTTGAATGTCAGTATTTCATCAGATTGGAAATATGAAGTCAGGCAGTATCTGAAGATTTTTGATTTGATTTATTGAATGCTTAGTTTGTTCAGTATGTTGTACAAGTTATGGTATATGTTGGAAAATCATTCGCCTTTATTTCAGGTGCACTAGGATGCTCACAGAATTGTAAGTGTGAATATTAACATTACTTATGTACGTAGAGAATAACAGTGTGTTGTCAAATCTTTGAAAGCGCACATCTAAATCTTAGTTCAAACAGTATAGTATTTTCTTGCTAAAGACGATATGATACAGCGCTACCCATAATCATTATTTCTTCGGGTTCCAAGTGGGATGTACTTCTTCAAAAGTGCATCTGTATTTTGTCTCGTTCTCTGCAATCATCTTCCGCTGAAAGCACGGTTGTCCATGGGCTGTTATCACCTCCCCACACAATCTCCCGCATGTCATCCTCAGCCGCCTGAATTATTGCTTAGCATTACGGTCCCCCCATGAGGAGCGGTATGAGCAGTGATGTCACGCATCCGTCTCCTGAGAGTTTGTCAGATCCATCTTCATTTCCTTATCAAAAATTGGGATCAGCAATAGATTCTTGATTGGTTGGTCCCCAGAGTTTCTTGTTCATGCTTCTTTCTGAAAATCCGGTAATCTGATCTTCAGTATTGAGTTAGCGAATAGGACAGTTGTTCATGAGAGTATTCAGACGCCTGTTGAAAAATATTTTTGTGACGTTAAATTCAGGTTTTTCACCCATGAGGAAGAACTCACTCAATCGACATTCGTGTTGAAAATGAGAACTTCGTTGTTCGTGCTGAGTTGATCAGATTTCCAGAGTGAATTGTTCCAGAGTGATGAACCTCTGTTTGTCCTGCATTTTCAATTCTGATTTCGACATCGCCATTTGTGCAATCAGGCAGTATTTGAAAGGATTTTGCCTGGATAAGTGAAGGAGGTGATCCCATTCAAATTTCTGCCGTTGATATTGAGTGAAGCTCATCATGGCTGTTTGGTTATCTTCATCACCCCTGTGTTCTGTATTTTCACTTGAATTCTTGTGTTTGTTGCTTCTCCTGACAACTAGTTGGTTTTCGCCTGTAAATATTCTTCATCCGCGAAGTTCACATCTTCTAGATCCTTATTATCATTCTGATGTTAGATGTCCATGTTCAACTTTCGTTGCTCTCATCTGTGTGTATCTCTTTCCTGATGGTCACCTGGTTATCTTATATAGTGTTCTGAGATCCCCAGTACCTATAGCCTATTCTGCTTTGCTTACCAGTCGGTCTATACACGTTTCCTTGACCCTCGCCTTCACTGAGTTCTAATGTTCTCTCACGTTGATTTCCTCATTGATTCCACTTTGTGTTGCCGACTTCGCTGTGATAGCTTCATTGAAGGTGTCTTTTGTGGTTTTGTCTCTCCATCTCTGTGCAATGAACTTGAATTGTCGTCTGTCTACAGTTGCTCTGAAGACATTCATCTTTATCTTCAAGGTTCCTTGCACTAGATAATGGTCTGAACACACATTTGCTCAAATTCCTGACTTGCTGTCTAGCAAAATGTGTCTCCGATTCCTTTAGATTGAGATGAAGTCTGTCTGGTTTCTGGTGTGTCCGTCAGGTGGATTCCAAATTACATTGAGTGTGCATAGAATTGGATAAATGTAGCCTTCCTTCATTTTGAGTTGAGTCTTGCTGTCGTTATCCTACAGGAGGGCTTTGGCTGCTATTGCTGGTTGTCGTCTGGGTTACCGCAGTAGATTACTGATTGTCCAGTCGGTTATTTGGATAGTTCAAATCCATTCCATCACCAGCTCTCACAGATTACTAGCACTTCCAAATCATATCTCATATGTTATGCGACCTGAGCAACCTTCCTAACTTCAAGAATTTTGCAAAGATTCCACATCCTCAAACTTTTTCTCGACCTCATCTAAAGAAGAATCATTGGTTGACTGGCTTACCGAAGGCGTTCACCAGTCCTCTGTGTCATTTTGCCATTTCTCTCCGCTTCCAGGAAAGAATAAGTTTTTTGTTTTATATTTGTGTTGTGCTTCGAGGTTTCTGTATCGATTGGATTGATTTTCTTGGGGTAGAGTCACCAGCTTCACGCCAAACCTTCCTTCGTTGACCTGGTTTGTGATCAGCTACTAAACGAGCGAACTGGTAAATTAACGGAGGTTGCTATTTGTATATATGAGAGTATGTCAATGTAATCCTGACAAAACCCACGAAGAATTCGTTCATTATCACCAGAGTGAATTATGTTGTTTTATTTTTCGTACTACTGATGCACTTTATTGTACATTTTTACCAAACTGTTTTGACAATGAAGAAATGAAACTTCAGTAAATCGATAGATAACTCAAACTTATGCTTATCTGTGCACGTTTCTATCACAGCAACAAGTGCAAGTGAATACGAAACATGTAAGTTCAAAAGCCAGTGTTAAACTGTTCTGAATAAAATGAGAGTTTAAAAACCTATCTGGTACTTTGTAAATACACATTTTGATATCTCTATATACCTAAATTACGTATACCTTATCTTCAACGCACCGTTTGCATAGATCTTCGTGCTTTGGAAGTTCTGGTCTTCAGATTGTGTTCTTTAATGTTCTTTTCATGTCTTCCATGTATCTTCACAACTCTGTATCATTTGCCTTCACTGAAATCAAATGTATCTTCCTGCTATCTGGATGTTTTTTATGTCAATGAATGTATCTTCATACACTACTGATAAATATTATCAGTAGCAAAATATCAAAATAATAATGAAGAATGCAGTCATTAGAAACAGTAGAATTACACCAAATAATATGAATTTCTCATCAGTCATACAGGATAATTTTCTATTCTCTTAAAATATTTCAAAATCAAATTTGAATAATATTTGTAGGCGAAGATGGTTGTACCGGTGAGTTCATTTAACTTTATTGATAAATGTCAAGAAATACGAGATCCATGTTCATGGCTTCCTGCTGACTAACCCTAGCATCTAACTGATAGGAATCAAATAAAAACAGTAAATGTCGTGTGACTCACCACGTGACTCATCCCATGATTGGATGACTATAAAATTTAATCTTTTTCTGACATTGGTCTTGGTCAGATCGCGAACCAATCAGAACAGCTATTCGCTGACCTAGCTTAGTCGCCTACTAATCAGAACAATCTATTTCCCACTGCCCTGGGCCGATTTTAATGTGATTAAAATATGTATAAAAGAAAGAACGTATCCTAAGAGTTACAGGTTAGTCTTTGTCTTTGGATATTGATGTGTCTCTGTGAAGTGCAGGGTGCCACAGACGAATATGTGTACCTACTATATCGGTTGAGTTGTTCATTGTGTCAGTATTATTATACCTACGTATCAGTCCACTTGGTCATATCAGCTGCCAACGAGATCATATCAATGAGCGACAGGTCTACAACAAATTAGTGATTCATACCATAACACTAACAGACAAGAAGGTGCACATTTTCGAATAATTTATCTTCCTAAAACAGCTCCTTTTTGTCGCTCACGAAAACACTTTTCAACAGGCTTCGCCATACTTGCATGAACAACTGGTCCATTCTCAGACTCCATACCGAAGATCAGATGGTCTGCTGAACAGGAAGAATTTGCAATAAGAATGAACCAATCAATAACCTCAATATGTGGAAGGAAATGGTTGGAACACACGCTGATGAGACCTCTGGGTAAAGTCGTGCGCTAGACCAGCACCGGAGTGGAATGCAATTAGGGAATGATGAGTTGGTCACCTAGTTGTGATATTGGGGTGATCGTGAGAGGAAGAAATGGGAGCCCATGGACAGTCTATGGTCTAGCTATAGACGATTTTGGAGGACAGGACAAAATTATAGCCAAAATTTATATTTGACACCAGGTGTGCATCGGCCGGGGAGCGAACCCCGTACCATGTGTATGGTTGGCGAGCGTCCCAACCGCTATGCCACTGGTCAGAGACTAGTGTAATGTGTCCAGTTCAATCATCTAATATCAACAATTTAAAGCACACCGTGATGGCAAGCCATCCAGTGGCATGGTGGCAACATTGTAAACTTTAATGACAGAATTCACTCTGCATCAAAAGTGGTCACTGACTAGTCCTAGTTTCAAGTATCATCGGCAGTACGCACCCGCTGTCAGTAGTCGAACCCAGGACCTTCCGGTTACAAGGCAAGGTCGTATACCATTCAGCCATTGGGACCCGATTCAATCAACGACCAGCCCATGAATTCTTACTTCTACCAATTCGTGATTTGGCGCGACTGCCATCAACCAGTGTCATCGGCAGGACATCCATCCTCATACTTGAATGGATGAACCCCTGACTGGTCACGACTTCTCACTAGAAGTGCAGACAACTCCGTCCCGTAGCACGTCAGCCACTGGCGGGAATCAGACTAATTTTCTTTCGTCGGTGTGTAAAGATTGGATTGCTTTTTGTGAGCTGATCATGGATTTATATCAAATAGAAGATTCGTTGACAATTTGACAGTGATTTTCTAAATCATTATTGTTGATAAACCTGTTAATGAACGTAGAGAGTAAGAATAACTATCTCGAAGGGAATGAGGATAGTTGATGTTTGAGGTAAGTCTGCATGAATTTAATAAACACATTTACACCGTAAATGTCACTCTGTCTCTTTTATTATAGGTGAAAAACTAAATAGAGAACAATGTACGTAAATTTTGCATTTTACTTTAACATGGTACAATTTTACAATCATAAAAGTAAATTATATTTTCCTAGATACTGTATATGATTTAGAGTTGATCCGAATGCTCATTATTATAAAAGGCTTCCTGTATTTCCTAATGAATGTAAAAGACAAGACGATGTTAATCCGGAATGACATTTCACTATTTAATACTGCTAATAGCTTTATCAAATCAATATTATTAATACCAGAATTTATAAAATCTCAGCTTATACTTAACCATGTAATCATCGTTTCTTCAGCAATGAGGTGATTCCTACCTAGTCAAGTTGAACGGTTGGCGAAGATTACAGGACATGTGTAGATTGTCCCATTTGATAGGAGTATAAAATTATAAAGGCAGCATGTGTTTATCACATTCGTGTTGATTTTGACATTGCTTGGAGGAAGCGGGGGCGTTGTTACAAGTTCAAATCCTGCTTTAATCCATCATTCCTATTCAGACACTTTCGAATCCATTCGATAGGAAGTATTTTTGATGTTAGACGTTTTCTGGGATTCCTGGAATTTTTCTGGATGATGATTTCGATATTGTCATAATCAATTTTGTGACCTGATGGCTGGTGATTTTTCAAGCTTTTCTAGTTCAAGTGGATTTCTCTTTGGACGAACAGAGGTGGCACTACGGTATTCATATTTTCTGATTACTTTGAGTTCTCTCTAGGAATGTTTGTCCAATGTATATTGCATTGTGCAGACACAGTCAGGTAGAGAGCCCTTAGGCATTCGGTTATTCATTGAGAAATACAAAACTTTCATAAAAATTAACATCATATTCCCAATGCCCAAATTATTTCCAAATTCGATACGTATGCTAACTACAAATATGTCTGAAGTTATCGACATACTAAATAAGACAAACAGAATGCGTAATTGTTGTGGCAAACATACCTGTAACCATGTATATATGAAGCCGGGTTAATACATGTGTAAATATACTTTGAAATATTGTCGGTTTGCGTGCAACGTCAATTCCTAAAGGTTTGAAGAGTCTTGCAGTGATTTCTGAGCTGTCCTTAATATATGGTAGGGCGATTGTTTTTGTGTTTTCAATGGGGGCCTTTGACTTGATAGATTGGCTTGACGGTATATGTCTTTTGATGACATTCCGTGGATATCCATCCATTATTTTGAAAGATGTCCATGAGATATATTTCTTCAATTTTCCTTAAGGCAGGAATGCTGCGATGAGTCCTGGCTCTCTTGAATAGTGTTTGTATACAACTCCTTTTGTGTGTTATTGGATTTTTGCTGTTGTATTTCTGTATTCGATCTGTGTGAATTGATTTTCTATGAACTTGTGTTTCTAATTCCCCTGTGGTTGTTCGCTTGCCTAAGACGTCCAGAAATAGGATTTTGTTCTCGGATTCCTCTTCTCTTGTGAATTTGATGTCGTTGGAGACGTTGTTTATTACGATGTGAGTTTTATCTAACTCGTTTCTTTTGATTATTACAAATGTGTCGTCTAAGTAACGTATCCAAACTCATTGTTCAGTTCCGATACAAATAGCCTAGAGAGTGTAAAAACAGACGAAAACAACCACACACGTTCAAGGTCACTCACCCACCAGGAGAGATGACTAACAAAGTATTGGTGAAATCTAAATCTCACTTCAACAAATTGAAGTATGCGCTGAAGATGTTTGTTGTCTAGTACGGGGGGGGAGGCAATGAAAGCATCGCAATCTAACTATTCAGCTCAGAGAACACAACCATATCAAAACATTACTATATTCTAGTAACCACATAAAATCAAATGCCTATGACTAATCTTCCATCATTATGTAAATGTGGATTTACCCAAATACGTATTCGCTTGCTTAAATCGTGCTCTGTAATTATCAATATGGGAATGTTTGTATTCCTTATACACATTTCTCTTGCTTTTATGATCCCACGCTTGACGTCGTTTCATTTTATTGCCGAGTAATTTGAATTGATAAACTCTTCTATCACTGATACAAGTATACTCTGCTATAGCGTCCTCATTCTATACCTACATTTACCGTGCAATTAACTCTAATATTTCCAGGTCAAATTGACTGTCAACTGACTGGTAAGTTGCTCAACACTGGCTAAATAAACAGAATTTTCACAGTTCAAATCTTCATTTCTAATTATGTATGTGTTTACTCCAAAGTATCTATTATGCATTCGCCATCAGTAAGGCCTACTCGTCAGGAAGAAAACATGCTCGCCGTCATAGAAAGCCATGAAGAATTATACTGACAGATTGTTCGGCAACAAATTGTATGTCAGAAAAGTGGGAATGAAATTACTTTTGCGGGTAAATCTTCAATATCTTAAGATCTTCAGTTTTCTAAATCAATGTAAAAAATGTGTTCAAAAGCCTAATCAGTTATTGATTAATTTGGGATATTCGCTTGACGGTGGTTGGCAGATGATGGGTCGATGACGTACCTTTCACTGTCTCTTAAACTTATCAGTTAGATGACTTCACATCCTGATGAACCATAGTGCAACAATCCATCGTTTCAAAAATATCAAAGCATCATCTACTGGGATCCTGCAGAATAGAAGAAAACATTAAGAAACACCCATTTTAGATTCTACTAATGACAGTGAACCTGTTCGAAATATTTCCATTGTACGCAAATAACTATTGAATAATCTAAAAATAGTCAAGGCTTCCTGACGATCGCCTCCATCCATCTAATACCAACAATTCAATGTGCTCCATGATGCTGAGCCACCCAGTGGCATGATGGCCACATTAGAAATGTAACTGACAAAGTTCAGGCTGCACGAAAGACAGGACTAGACACATTACACCGGTTACCAACAAGTGTCCAATTAAAAGTATGAAATACACTCGGTCCTGCAGGAGGTCAGCCGCGAGCCAGCACGAATAACTCAGTGGTAACGTCACCTCTGACTGCAGGACTCAGTGATATAGGTTCGAATGTCAGAAGGAATACGAGTTCCTTCAAGGTTTCAGATACGACGTTTTGTTGAATGATGAGTTCCAGCTAGTATGAAACCTAGACCAGGTTGAGCCGATTTCCTCCAACCATCCGACGCCCAAGATATGTACTGCCGGGCCAGTACCTTTAAAATAAACATCATGGCAACACGTGACATTTGTTCAAGTAATCCGTGCTGCTAAATTGTGAAGGGGTTGTCAGTTGGAACTTACCAGTCCAAGTGAATAAAAGTGATATAAAATCAGCTTTGAGATTCGAAAGAGTTATTTATATATTTCAAATGAACTGTCGTCAAAATTTGACAGAATAGTTCTAAAATATTTGGGCGCCGAGTGAGAAGTAGGCATTTGTAGAAAATTATATTTGTAAAATCTCAGCGAGATTGAAATAAGTAGTTCCGTTTCGTTCGGAAATCTGGTCCGAACTTCTTCAGGGAAATTAATCGAAATTAACATAACAGAGGTTTATATATAAAAGGAACATCACTTGTTATCAAAAATTTTGTCCAATCATGAGTAATTCAACAAGTATAATAAACAAAATTTTATCAGCTGTGATCAAAATTGGACCTTGGACTTACAAATATTGGTCTACCTTTGTTAAGCACTTTAAACAGAGTGTGTGTGTGTGGGTAAACAGTTGTAAAGCATTTCTTAACGTTTCCATAAGAAGATATGGACAGAATTATTAATATATTCCCTTTCCACCAAAAGAAATTTTGAGTGATAAATTTCACTTCTCTTCCCATCTACAATAAACTACTTACAACTAGCTTTGAACATTTCATAAAGTAGTTTTTCAGGTAGATGGCGACTAATCGTGGAATCTATCACGCATATTTTATCCAGTTGAGAACTCGTCATCTGGATGAACCTGAGTTTCTGAGTAGACCGATTGGGCCATGAGAGCCACCTACTGTGCAATGCGTACCAGTCACTACTTGTTTTCAATTCAATTTCGATTTTGTCGTTTGATTGATTGAACTGAAATTTCTGGCGTCTCTTGACGTATCAACTTTTAAAATGGACGCCATGACGACGTCTGTGCGAATAACTTGAAGTAATTTAATGGACATTGAAATCCTCGATGAGCATCCAGTCCTTTTTGGACTTATCAGCTGAAGAGTCTCATCTCTAGCCTCTAAATGACAAAACTAACCACTTAAATCGTTCTTTATACGGCTTATGTAGATTGAGTATGCAGTTTGTCACGTTAATTAGCTTAATTATTATAAATTTCTATTTTGGTAAAACTGAATGATGTAAATTTGTATAACGTTACTACTTTATTTTCAGTTGGAAGTCGCTATATCTGTATGTCAGTTATTCAAACACTTGTGAATGTATATCATGTTTAACATAGTGAACCTAAATCCAGTCTACCTTTACTGTAGCCAGTACTTTGTTTACTATTCTCAAGAGTTGCTTATCAGGGATTTGATTGATTACAACTTTGGTCATGAAATGACTTCAGCTGGAGAGCCATTGTTTCGTCTTTGTCTTTGAGTCTTCAACAGTACGCACGCATTATCCAACGATGGACCGAAAACAGGATTTTTACGTTACAAGCCAACCGCTTTGACCATTCACTGGCAACTGGGACGTTGTCAGATGACTCATCGGATGAACTGAAATCTCTGTCATTTCGCCAGCCAGTGTTTAGACAGCAGCGAATTTCCGTTGACACTCTTGAAACTTAGTGAAATATTAGAATTTTTATGCTGATTACTAATACTACTGATGGTTAGTTCATAAGTAGTATTATTCTTAATAATCAATAATGATAATTTCAATTAAAAGGCATTTCCTGAAGACAGAATTAATTCAGAATACTCAGCTATGTGTTAGATTACCCCGATTCTTAATGAAGAATTTTATTTCTGCTTTCAAGGTGAAACTGTTTGCGCTGATAGTAAGTTCAGTACTGTGTTTATTTTCAGGAGTAACTGAGTTAGTAGTCATATTTTCAGATGGAATGTCGTTTCATAGGGAAGTTTCCTTCCTAGAAACTGAAGGCAGCATATTCATGAAATGGTTTGAGTTAGGCATACTTGACGTCCTACAGGTCACTATATTAGGGCTAATTTAATATATTCTGGGTTTCTGAGTGATTACTGTTTGCCTATTATTAAGACAACATAGTGTATTGGGCTAAGTTGTTCCATATTATTGTTATTATTCCCCTGAGTTCCAAATGGAACATAGGGCTTCAACACCACACCTATACTTTGTTCCGTTGTCCTCTTCAGCTGGGTCTACGATTGTTCACAATCTCTCATCTCCTCCTCCTCCTTGCCACATGATCTCCTCCATGTCACACACGTATCGATGACCCACTCGTCGATTCACATTGGGAATCTGCTCGAGCAATGGCCTGCATAAAGTGCGACGTCATTCAACGGTCTCTTTGATGTATGCCTAATCAATCTCCATTTTCTTCTACGTATTTGTTGAGCGATTGGTACTTGGTTGGTCTGTTCATACAGTCTCTTGTTACTGATGATTTTGGCCGGCCGGTCACACAATATTCAGTATAGAGCCAGTCAACGAAGGTGTCAGCTGTTGATGAAAGTCTGCAACCTGTTGGAAATTCATCTCGTTACATACTGGTCAAGTTTATGACCCACAAAGAAGGACCAACTTGACATTTGTGTTGAACAGAATGCGAATCTTGTTCCTTTTGTTGAATGCAGCCGATTTCCAAATTGGTTCCAGGTTGGTGAAGGCGTATCTTGCCTTTCTGATTCTTCATCTTCATCCGTCTCAACTGTAGTTGAAACGATGCTTCTGAAACAAGTGAAGGAAGTAACCTTTGTTAAATCTCCCCCTTTGACGGTGACTGGGGCTGGTTGTTCTTGCTGTTGCTGTTGGTTGGTTATCTTCATCATCTCCATATTCTCTGAGTTCACTTGGAGTCCTGTTTTCGCTGCCTGCCTCTTCTGCCAGTTTGTTGGTTTTCGCTTGCAGGTCTTCGAGTTTATGTGACATTAGACATATATCATCTGCGAAATCCATATCTTCTAGAGTCTTCTCATCGGTGGTCCAGGGTAATGCCGTCTCCTGTCTCCCCACAGTCTGACGCATAATACAGTCCACCAAAATGTAGAACATAATCGGTGATAACAGGCGAATGGCCTTCCTTAGCTCCTGTATTCACTTCGAATGCCGCAGTGAGTTTTCCGTCGTGGATCACCTAACACGTGACATTGTCATATGGCCAGCTGTTGAGTGAGTTTGATAAAGAATTGAGGTACGCCGTAGAGTCAACGTAGTTTCCAAATTACTTCTCGGTCATCACTGTCTGGTGAAGGCCTTCTCCATGTCGATGATGTTGAGGTGGAGTGAGTTTTGACTACCATTCTGTAGTTTATTCTAATACAGGCTCAGTATCAAAGTTTAGCATGTGACAGTATATCTAATTTTAATTTAATAATATCAAAAGTATTTTACTCGACCACAGTTTGCAGTCTACAGATATTACACTTTAAATACATTTCATTCAACCATAAGAGTATAATAAATAAAATCTAACTTCAGTTAATTCAAAATTTTGAAAACTTCTTCAGATGAACCCGCATCTCTACCTCGTTGTGAGTCTACATGCGTTTTATATTCGTGGTGAACTGACGCTGTTCTCTGATTATATAATAACGACTTATGATGAGGCATTTGCTATTGTCAGGGAAAATATACAGTCTCAAGTTGCCATGTCATCCATAATTCAGAAGAGATTTCAATTGGGTCTCTACGTTACTTCAATTCAGTCATTATGTATTTGACTATTCTTAAAAAAACAGCGGTCTGCTTGAATCACTGAGTCACCTGAATTTCCCTCCAAAGACAATTCAATCAAAATTACTAGAATTCTTATTGTTTTAATCACTCACTTATATATCCTTGAGTAGAAAAATCTACTCACGCGCAATTTTAACTGTCTTTCAACCCACTCTAGTGCATTTCTAAGGCCAAAGAATATTCTAAGGGATTCACTTAATGCTACAGGTAGAACAAGTAACTTTAATTGCTGTAACAGCATCAACTTTGTGCTAACTATCTACAAGGTGTGCTAAAACAGAAGTAGATACGAACAAATCTTGTTTGTCCCTTGCATAACCATAATGCAGGATGATGTTCGGAAATACTAAGATGAACCTGCCTAATTGTACGCCCAATGTAGCTGGCTCTTTAGTCGCAGTCAAACTGGTAGATACACATATAGGAGGCATACTCAGGTAGTTTGTCCTTATTTCTTGAAGGTAAAATACGGGTGAGAGGGAGAAGACAACGAATCTGATCTGCACTGAATGTTATGTTAAGTGTATTCTTTAGGTGTTGTGTTACTATTTCGTAGATGTTGTCACCGAGGAACTGCAGTTTCATGGAGAATAGATTTTACTGGAGCTGTTGACCTACTGATATGCTTTTGTGTTAAATTCGTATTTTTCTAAATGAACCTATCTCAGTGAACATTTTTGAACTAAGTAATTCTTTAATAATCTCAAGCTCCTCATTGAGAGATTCGTTTGAACAGATTTTTCTCGCTCTATGAACCAGACAATTATTTTTTTATATTTATTTATTTTCAGGCTTGTTTTTCTGCGGCGAAACATGTAAGGAAAAATGTGTACACTTAGCAAATAAAAGCAATTCCACTTTAATCTGATCAATAGTTGTGTCTAATGGCCCTCTTAGTATTTGAACAGTTTCTGGTGAATCGAACAACCATTTCATTTCATGATGATCTTAATGCATACCCATGTAAATTCATCAGTTTCCGTGGTTGAGTATCGCTACTTTGTGTGGCAGTATATATTGTTGTATTCGAATTGTAGTCTATTTAAGGGGCATGCTTGAACAGTGCTCATTGTTGCACTAGGCTACTTTGAAATACAAACACTAGTTTGCTTACTGCTATGGAACCGAGTACATTGGCCATATGATACTTCCAATTGTAAAGCGCGCTGCGGAACACTATCCAGCTCGGCTAGAAAACGAAGAACACAGGTGTGTACGTAGTAACTTGGTAATAAAACATTCGGTGAACTCAGCACATTTAGCTGCATTTGAAACATCCTTCCAAGTCCTATACAAGACCCGTTCAATTCTGTAAAAAAGGGAATGAGATCAAAGCATTTGTGCAAAGCTGAGTCCCTAGCGATCCAAACGTTCAAGTCTATGCTATGCAGAAATATATGCAACCTCTATCGTTGCTATGGCAATCATAAACAGTCTTTTAGTTACAGGATTTCATCAGTTAGAGAACCATTGGAAAACCTGGGACAGCTGTTTTATCTTAGCTAGGGACTCTTCATCAGCACGCACCCACCGGGGTTCGATCCCAGGATCTTCTGGTTACAAGGTGACCATTAAGCCACTGGGACCCGATCCATTGGCCCGTGAATTCTAACTTCTGCGAAATCACGATAAACAGTCTTTTCTGTTGATGGTGATTATCCTATCAAGTTTCTTGTTTACTGCTGTTATTATGACGTCTTTCTAATCTTCATTGTCATTACAATGTTTGTTTATTTCATCTGAATTTTTGTCTATTTTGTTACCACTACGTTTTGAATTCCTAATTGCACAAAAAGACGATTATCTCAATAATTAGGAACCATGTTTTTGATCCGATCTTTCTGTTTATTCTGTTATGAATCGATTTTAATCCCTAATCGTTATCTCATTAATTTGACCTACAACCCGGAAATAGTTCTGCAGATTTTTCACTATTGTGTTATACTTTATTTACACGAATGCACTTTTCCAAATAATTTCAGATCAACCTAAATTTCCCTGTAGTAAGTGTCAGAAGTTTCACTCGCTAGAGTCAGTATATGTATATAAATGCATTTTGAAACTCTCCTATGTTATTATGCTCAAATATCATGAACTAAGTTAAACATACGTTTGAAGTATTTCAGTTTAATTCTTATAGTCTTGTCAGTAATACATCAGTAGACTTAACGTGGGTGACCTGCTTAAAACCTGCGCTACAGGAAACCTCCATAAATACAGTGCATATAGATTTCTTATTCATTTTGTTTGAATCTAGTAAAATATTACTGTTTACTCTGGCGGATATTTAAAACATTCACAACCTTCGGTTTCGTAAATTTCTACTAAACATGAGTAAAAGCATGATGCTCCATGGTAACCTATAGAAGCAGCACATGAGATGACCGCTCCTGAGTAGTGCTCTTGGTTCACAAAATGTACCCCTGAACGCTTTATAACTGACATTCAACAAAAAGTCGTCATGTATTTCTCTAAGTAGAGGTAGAAGAAATATCATAATGGTGGAGTGGTTTCTGCTTCAGGTGAGATAGAACTGTGTTGGACAGTCTACTGTCATAAAGAAAATAAAAGACAAATTCAGCGATGAAAAGTTTCTTTCTTGACGAAATCTCCTTCAGAGGCTGTACATTTGTATTTATATTTACCAAAATCACGTACAGTAGTCTATTATTGAGTAATAAGGGCTGACATAATTGATATAATTACTCAGAAGTGGCTTCAAAATGAAAATTAAAAGTCGTAAATACATGGTATTCAGTGGCACAAAGATAGAAATTTGGTAAGATTAAAAAAATTGCTATTGAGTGAGTGTCAATTTGACAAGTGAGAAGAGGGCGTGAAATGTATAGAAGGAACATATGAGAGTGATAATAGTGAATTAATTACCATGGTAAAAGCAAACTAAAAGTAAAAATTAAAATTAAAAATAACATTGTTTATAGGGAACGACCAGTAAAGAGGATAAGACCATGGTAGAATAAGAGACTGCACAAAAGTTTTCTGTATACAGAGTTCAGGGTTGTATTGGTGAATTGCGAGCACCTGCACCATACAAAAAAGCCAAAACCTGACTCCCTTTGTAAAACTTGGCCTAATCTTGTAGATAATTTTGAAAGACGACTGTGGTGGAGCTGCGTGGCTTGAACTCACCAAGTGCTAGAGAATTGAGCTAGTAACTGTCTTGCATTGGCCTTCTGCTAACCATGCCGGATAATATTCGGAAATGTGTTTGAAAAGTGTGTGCTTTGTGCGTCCAATATACCGTGATCCAAAGGTGCAAGTGAATTTATAAACACACATTGAAGTGGCCAGTCCAAAGTGGCAGTTTATCCTTCACACATCCATTGATCATTTGTTAGCTGTAGAAACGGAACAGTAGCTCATCTGTAAAGAAGGCTTTCCTCAGTAATCTGCATAAGTAATTCTTCAGGATCTCAGGTGCGAACTCACCTTTGAATTCAACGCTCATATATAGCAGTTTCTTCGGCACCACAGTCTGGGTTTTTTCAAGCTTTTGCTTTCACTTCACGTTTTTCTCGATATTTGTTGGGGAATACCCATTCTCTATGAGAAATTGTCTGAGTCGCTGTAGTTCTCTGTTGATTGTATCACTGGAATATATCGTTCTTATTGTTATTCTACTATCAATTAATCTCCCATTTCAATATTCTGGACAAAGAGAAAATATCATGCAACAAACTCCGCTGAAAATTCTGTATATTATATTAACTTCGTTCAGAATAAACCTGTCACTATCATTATTATTGTTATTCAGTGTGGACGCATGATTATATAAGTTTTTAATACGCTTTAAAATATTTTCAGCTGAACGATCTGGTACAGATGGTAGAGATTGTGGTAAGTCGTATGCTGACATTAAAACACCCTTGAAAATCACATTTTTCGAGCTTCTATCACTTCATTTTTGATACCTGAACAGAATGGGTAATCTGATTTGTTTGTCTGGCCTGAGTCAAACTGGCTACACTGGCGACAAACTCAGTTCCAAACTGGCGAAAACCCAGTTCGGCGTATAGATCACTTCTATCTGGCTGGCTACAGAGCACTCCTGTTTGACGTGAGCAGTATATGACTACTTATTTCAGTGAACAAGTAGTATATAGTATTATGCATGTTTTTTTGAGAGTAATGTAAGAGGTCAAATTCCACTGGACAATTTTGTCAGTAGGCCAAGAATGTTTCACACAGAGACTCAGTTATTTCAGTCAGGATGATGTAACATCGATTTCTCAGCAATTCCTTTCTCAAAGACTAGGAGGCCAGTCATAATTTTTAAATGTAACTTAGCATAGTCTCAATTATTACTCCATCCGACAAAGGTGAGTTTCAAAGGAGATACTAACTTTCAACTTGATATCAAATTTCACCGGTGTAATATGCGATGAATACAAATCGAAAGGAGCATAGAAACTACAACAATGCAGGACTAAGGTGATAGCTGAGTAAAATTCAAAATACAGTGTCTATCCCAAAGATAGATGTGGTCAGGATGTGCATGAAAACCGACTGAAGTGCTGTTTTATGACTGAAGATGAAAACATATATATGTGGCGGGAATGAAATATGTTAAGTAAAACTGAGTCTTAGAAGACAAGGACCGTTTTAGATGCGGAGGTGAAATCACCTTCTTTTGAACAGAAAACTCTGGAGCGCAGTTACGGTAATAGCTGCCGCTTGAAGCCTACCTTTCGCTGTCATATCACATTTAATATTGGCTGCTTACATGCTAGCGTCTGTGGCATAGAGGTCGAGTGTTCACCAGTCAAGCATGTGTTTTGGGGTTCGATTCGCCGCTTATGCACTCCTTTAACTCACTAAGTCCGCAATTTGATCGGTAAAGGGGGAAGGTTGGGCATGAGGCTAGCAACCCCATCCCGTAAGAATAAACACCACTGCTGTAGCATGAAAGCCTATGTTTCACTGGGGACGTAAAGGAATACCGAGAAAGTATATATGTGCTAACCTATGCATGCAAACTGTGATTCAACATCTTTTAAGAATAAATCGCCAAAAAGAACCTTTTCCATGACATATAGACTGCATTCACTTCTGTATCAACGCTTACGACTGGATCCAGCATTGCCCATGAGCTTTTTATTTTCTCGCCACACATGGTCCACCGTATCATTCTAGGAAGCCTAAATCGACACTTTCCAATCAGTTTCAGCTGTGGACATGTCGCTCAACGGTCTTTGCACTGTTTTGTTAGGCGGTAACATGTTGATTAGTTTGTTTCCAGAGCTTTTTCTGGCCGCCATCTGGTCTTCAGTAATGAGCGAAAGAAGCAGATGCTACAGAAAGTGCACAACCTGTTGGCGATGATTTTAATGACACACGTGTCACGTCTGTGAACCAAACAGAAGCGTGATTTGATATCAGTGATGCAAATTCAGATCCTGTTTCTTATTCCGTGGAAAGGAAAGAAATTCTTTCCAGTAGGGTTCAGCAGGTCGGGTGTGAGCAAAACTACTCACTGAAGACATAAGTTAGTGGTCTCGCTTTATTATGAATTGAGAGAAGTTGGAATTCATAGACTGGCCAATGAATCGGTTCCCAGTGGTTTGATGGTTCATGAGCTCGCCTTGTAGCCAGAAGGTCCTAAGTTAGAACCCCGGTGGTGGGTGCGTAATGTTTGAGTCTCAAAATAGGTTGCCGAGACAGATATCTAGTTCTCCCTGACAGGTTTTCTTATGGTTATCTAACCGATGTCAGCTCATGATGATATGATTTCATTGACAGTTCATATTACCGAGTGGACTGATGTTTAGGTATACTAATACTGAAGCAATGGACATCTCAACTGATATGATAGATATACCAATTCATCCATGGTACCTACCACTTCACTGAGGCACATCAATATCAGAAGACAAAGACTGGCCTGTGATTGTTGGGATAGGGTCTTCATTAGGAAAAACCCGTCATATTTAAATGCTTTTGAAACACATTAAAGTCAGCCCAAGGCAGTTAGAAATAGATTTTTCTGATTGGTAGGCAACTCAGCTAGGTCAAAGAAAATTATTCTCATTCGTTGGTGATCTGACCAAGACCGATGTGAGAAAAAGGCAGTGAAATTCTATGATTAGATAATCATAGGATGAGTCACACGATGAGTCATAAGACGACTACTATTTTAATCTGATTCCTCTCACCTCAAGTCTATAATATAATGCTGTTTACAAATTGTGTGTTGATTATAGTATACTACCTTACTAAAACATAAATTTTGGTTGAATTCTTTTATTAAATTTCAGAAAATGAAGATTTGCTTCCATGTGAGAAAATATTTGATATATATTCTTATCACAGTCGGATTTTAACTAGATAAATCATAATCATTACTTGTAAAATTTTAAATTAAACAGAAACAGGCCTTATATAATCAGCTGAAATCAGAGGCAGTCTGAGAATAATGAATTGACTGAATCGCCTGAGTAAAGAAAATGAATCCTGGGGAATGCATGCGATTATCAAATTTCTTCCAAACTCTTCTGCGTATTGGTATATATATATGTAATACAAAATGTATAAATTTACCACATATCAGTTCAAATTCCAGGGTATTATTAACTGCTAGATACAATGGCTTCAGTGCAAGAGAATAAAACTGGGCAATCACGCCATGAGTGCTTCTAAGAAAGAAGTCACCTAAAGAATCTAGTAATCTGAGAATAACTGATGCTACTTTGCGACAGAAATAATGCATAAATTCCGAGTTTTATGTACATTGAGTAGTTACCAATAATGATACGACATGGGTCAGACAATCAGTGTACTTACACATATATATCAAATATTTAGCTGTTCAAACATTATTAACTTGTAGACAATCTACTATTTGTCTTTATATCATACTTGATCGTGCCTTCAAAAATGGCATGCATTTTCATGTAAATTTATGTTTGTATGAAAATATAAATTATTATTATTATCAGTGAGCAAAATACGTTTCAGGATCAATTAGGCAACTGTAAAGATTGTGAAAATGAGAACTTTACGGCTTACAAATCACTCAAGTCGCTTTACTTACTCTCTTCTCAAAATAATAGTAAAACTGTTCAACTGCATATGAATATTCTTGCAGGAACTATATTTGTGGACTATATCAGATGAAAACAGAAAACACAGAGGTGGTGATGAAGATTCCTGGCCAACAGCAATGGCAACAGCAACAACAACAGACAACAATCAGCATAAGAGGGAGAAATCTGAAAGAAGCAACCTCCTTCCCCTACCTACTAACGTTTCAACCACAGGCGGACGGAACTGATGAGGATATCAATGCAGCGAGGATCAGGAAAGCAAGGTAGGCAGGCTATCATTACTCTCAAGTCTGTGTGGAAGTCAGCAGCACTCAGCATGAAAATGAAAATAAGATCCGGATTTTCAACTTCAACGTGAAGTCAGTGCTATTTTATGGATGAGAGACCTGATGCGTCACGAAGAGCACCTCGAACAAACTACAGACTTTCATCAACAGCTGTCTTCGCTCAATACTACTCAAGACCAGATCCGTGGCCAGAGAAGATTAGCAACAGGGATCTCTGGCAATGAGCAAACTAACCCAGCAGGAAGCAACTGTGCCACAAATATGCTGGAAGTAGTGGAGGTGGATTGGCTATACTCTGAGAAAACAAACCATCAAGTGACATTACTAGACAGGCCCTCTCGTGAAAACCGAACGAGAAGCGGCGAGTTGGTTGTCAATGCGAACGTGACTTGGAGGAGGTCATGTGAAGAGGAGATGAAAACATGTGTGCAGACGTGGAGCAAGGTGGAAACGTTGGCAGAGAACCGAAGGCAATAAAGACGTCCAACTGAGACCCTGTGTTTCTCTAGGAATTAAACGAAACAATAATAATATAATAATAACATCAGCACGCGAAATTATCCGCATTTCCAGAAGGTTTCACTTCTTGCATCCGAATTCCATGTATGGCATATGGAAAACCATTATGGCGAATGAAATCGGTTGGTCTCAAATGATTCGCCTCTCCACAACTAACTCAAACCGAGTACATGGATAATGAGCCTGGCAGCAAACAATCAAAACGGTGGTCCCGTGCTTCGATCACTTCGATTTGGCTGGCTAGTGACTACTATTATTTGGTATGAGTAGTATACGAGAACTTAGCTCAGTTAATCAGTAGTATACAGCTTGATGCAAAAAAAGCTAATCTATGTTAGACTTGAAGTAAGCTATTTTATTACATTCTACTAAAAACAGTTTAAATTGGATTTCAGGCACAGAGTGGTGCTACAGAGAGGATCGGAGGTAGGTTATTCATTAAAATATTACTCTGGAATGCATTGGTGTGAAAACTATTGACACAAACAATGTTATTCTCTTTGACGATTTTATGATTAGTGATAAGCTTAGAATCAATATTTTCTATTTGATAAATTATGAGGTGATAGTATAGTCAGTACACTTGTTGCTGTTAAAAACAGTATCTGACTACTTGATAGGCGAAATTTGTCTTAGTTTAAATTACGCTTATACAATGAATGAATAATTATGATGAAAACACCAATGTTAAGTTGACTCTTCTTAATGGGTGACGAAAAGGATTTCCAACGAGTTGCAGACTTCCATCAACAGCTGCCTTCACTAGCGCCATTCTGAAGATCGATTGGCAAGAAAGAATAGGCAACAAGAAACTCTGGGAACAAACTAACCAAGAGCCGACTGCTCAACAAATATGCAGGAGAAAAAATCAATGGATTGGGCAAACTTTGGGCAGGCATCGCTCCAGTGGAATCCAAATAGGAAGCGACGAGTGGGTCGTCAATGCAAGGGTGGCATGGAGGAGGTCGTGTGATGAAGAGATGAGAGGGTTCGGTCAGTCGCGGAGCTGGCCAGCTGAAGAGGATAGCAGAAAAAAGAACAAAGTGGAGACGTGTTGCTGAACCCCTATGTTCCGTTCGGAGCTCAAGGGAAGAATATTGATAATATGTCATAGGGAATCGATCATTATTGACAAATAGAGTAACGGTTCAATTAAATGGTATGTCCTCAGGAACTGTGCTGATATTTTGTGTTACCCTCTTACTAATATTTTTAATGCTTCCTTTTCCAGTAATGTTCTACCTTCTGCATGGAAAAACATTAAAAGTGTCCCTATACCAAAACAATCTTCTGGTACCGATAGTAAATTTAGGCCTATTGCAATTACTTCTCCTTTTTTAAAATTGATGGAAAAACTACTTTTACTTCCTCTTGAACCTTCATTGAAAGCTTTTAATGACCCTAAGCAATTTGCATATAAACATGGTAGAAGTACCTTGGATGCTGCGGTTGTCTTATATCATAATGTTGTTTCTTGTTTAGACAAAGGTGCCAAATATGTCCGTGGTGCTTTCCTAGACTACACATCTGCGTTTGACTCTGTACCTAGGGGCCTTTTATTAAATAAGCTCTCCTTGACGCACACAGCATCCTGGGCTAAGAGTTGGTTGCATTCTTATTTTTCTGATAGAATGCAGTATACTGCATATAATGGCAAATCTTCTTCTGCTTTGCTTACAAAAGCCGGTGTTCCTCAAGGTGCCGTCCTCTCTCCCTTTCTTTTTTCTTTCTTCTTACATGACCTGCCACATTTAAACGAAACCAATTTTGTCAAATATGCTGATGATCTGACTGTATCACTGCCTATCACTTCTGAGTCTGACTGCTCCAAACTTAATAGCTTTTTGTTGGACATCAGCATGTGGTCTAAGTCAAATGGTCTTATGTTAAATCCTTCCAAATGTCAGGCAGTTAACTTTACCTTCAACCATCGACGTGACATACATGAACTAGTTAGTTCCCATGATGCCTGTAGCATAGATGGTACAGAAATTGAAACCAAATCAAGCATTAAATACCTTGGATTAGTTCTTTCCTCGGACCTTTCATGGTCATCTCACGTTTTATTGGTCTCTAAGAAAATGTTTCGTCTTACCTTCTACATTAAAAAGTTAAGACAACAAGGTATCAGCCAACCTTTAGTTCTGCGATTTTTAAACTCCTGTATTTTACCTATTTTACTTTATTGTTCTCCATTAATCTTTCCTGGGCTTCTTAAAAAAGACTATGCCGTTTTACGAAGGGTATTAAATGCTGTGAGTAGGGCTTGTGGTTTGCCACTGCGTGATCTCGCCAATACCATAGTCGAGAGACACGTAAATTCCTGTAAAAATTGGGCAAAGGCCGTACTGTCAGACCCTCTGCACCCTCTTTATTCACAATTATCCCCTTGTATCTCATCAGGTAGAACGAGAAGTCAATATAAGAAATTATATGCTCGTACCACTAAGTACAAAAATTCTACAATACCGTACTTAGCCCGTATTTTATGTGATGAAGACACTGTTAGACGTGAAAAATATAAGTTACTATGTAATTAGCATAGTGAATCGACCCTTTCATTGTTCATCTTTCTGTAATTCTATGGTGTCACCCTTTCTATCGTTTAATTATAACTTTGCTATTTTTATTTTAGTTGTTATTAATATTATTACTATAATTTTATATTTTTCTCCTTATCCTCTAATGTAATTGCTACATAGCTCCTATAAAAACGTTTTGTTATCATTATTATGTATTAATTATTCCGTTTATCTACTTTTTTTTGTTTGTTGTTGTCGTTTTTGAGTAAATTAGATGCAATACTGTACTGAATGCTGAAAATTCCTTGCTGTATCATTAATACTGTTTTTGGAATAAAGCAAAAATTATTATTATTATTATTGACATTCTAACACCTGTTTACAATCCGCAATACTTATATCTAAAGTTAATGGTATAGAAGAATTGCTTAGAGTTCTGGGCATGTATAACTACAATATATATCAGAGGTATTCTGTGATATTCATAAAAGTGAATTGATTCAATTTGAACTGCAGACACTTTTCCGCACTCATTGCTGCTCACATGTCAATAAATTACAGTTCGTTTCTAGATTAGCAATTCACTTTTCTGGTTGGTAATTACAATTACTTTATTCCAAACACTACTTTGTGGAATAAAATGTGGAATTTTCAGCTTGCATTACAGTATTGCATCTAATTCCCTCTGGCAGTAAACCAGCCCAGCAGGAAACGACTGCGCAACAAATATGCAGGGAAAAATTGATGTTAATTGGCCATACCCTGAGGAAGCCATCAAGTGATATCACACGCCAGGTTCTCTCTCTCTCGAGGGGAACCCGAATGGGAAGCTGCAAGTTGGTCGTCAGTGCGAGGAGGTAATGCGAAGAGGCAGACTTAGAGCCAGATGAAGACATTGGCATAGAACCAGATGCAATGGAGACGTGCGGCTGAAGCCCTGTGTTCCTCTAAGAACTAAAGGAAACAACACAACACACGCAGTACACGGGAGAGAGAATAATTAAACAGGGCATCTACTCTGATAATATTGTTCAATAAGTTTGTGAATTTGAAACTACAGTTTCAGCGATGATATTCAACAACAACGTATTGATGAAAGAAAGAGTGAAAAGTGCAGCCTACTTAGTGTTTCTCAGTGAATTAGTAGTGCCATGTCTTACACGTTTCTTACAACATGACATGTGGACCAAATAAGGATTCGTAGATTTCTTATGCTTAGTTGTTGAGGCATAATTCTTTAATGATGACTTCTGGTTCTACTTGATGAGATGCATGTGAAGAGTTGTGCATAGAGAGGAGGCTCAGAATCTGACAAGATAATATTCGTAAATTTATTTCATGAGTTCAAGTGCCTGTCTACAACAGCTTACACGACTTGGTTTAGCGACACCCCACTCACCCTGCTGACAGCTTTTAGCGCCCTTCGCAGTGCAACAAAATCTTTCTTCAGTAGTCGAAGAAAGGTTAGAGGAGATCAATAAAGACAAATAGGTAGAATACAAGAATTAACAAATTCTATAGGTACAGACTTAGTGATGCCTAAATGTCCTGACTTCCTTACATAGAATGTTAAACGAAATATCTTCCTATTCACTAACATGATATGTGAAAGCCTGGGGAGATCAAAGGAAATAGACGATCCAAGGTATTTAAGATTCGACTTAGTTTCCACTCCAGTGCGAGAATCATGGAAACGAACCAGAGCTTATCAATCCCACCTGTATCTGAAAGTACGATTAACATCTCGACAAATGAAGATATTTAGTTTAAGACCATTTGACAAGGACCACTGACTAACATTTTATGGAACGTTGTTCATTTTAGAACAACTTGACGTGGAAGAAGTCTACATGGGAACAGTCAGATCATAGGCACATTTAACAAAATTGGCTTCATCAGTATGCGATTAGTCATGTAAGAATTAAGAGAACAGAAAAGGAGAAAGAACAGCAGCATTTAGGGAAAAACCGGCTGAAATAATTACAACACCGGAGGACTTCCCATTGTAAACAGTGTACTGCTTCCTGTGACGAAAGTAAGAATGCAACCATCTACTCATTCAGCCTCACAGTTGCTTGTTGTATTTGCTCTCTAAGACCCCTGAGTCGTGAATACTCACCATATTCATTAACAAATTTGAATAAATCAGTTTTTATAAACCCTTGGTTGTTTAACGAAGTATATTGAAATGATGGATAGGAGGATAAGTTCATGGAACAGTTTTATAGATGCATTTTATAATTCTTGGTTTTGATTTTCCTACTGTTTTTGTTTTCTTCCTTCCTTTTTAGACGGATAGAATCAAGCCCCTGAATCTTCATCTATTGATAATGTTGAATGCTTTAACTGACACGTTTACCCACTGTTTTAACCATAATTGTTGTTTACTAAAGTGTAATAACTAAGTAATTTTTTCACTTATAAATAAATACTAATTTGCTTTCTATTAAATACCTGAGTTTATCTGTCTGAAGTTGTGGTACTCAGAGTGTATAGACATTCAATGAAAATGCGTCTGATTAACTACAAACCGACATTAGTCAGAACACAATTTCATCAGGGCGAGAATAGCATTCGCCAGTGATAAATTGTGGGAGGGCCTCTGGGTCCTGGAAAAATGTCTACGAAACAACGATCTTGCTCCAAGGTGATTGGCTAGATTTTGGTATAATAAATCAGGCTACAGTGGTTCACCTGTATCAAATAACATGTTGGATTAGCCAAATAAGAGTCGAAAGACAGCTCCTAATTTGCATATCAGCTTAATTGTAGCTGACAAGGAAGATACATTCTAAAGGTGAAGCGAAAGGCGTGTCTTAGATTTTCTGAAAACATAGTGAAGAGTTTGACATGAAGAGGAATTTAATCTTTGCTCAGTGCAGTCATATGACATCTGACCGAGGTGGAAAGTGTATACGTTGAGAGATCTACTAATGATAAATTTTGTTGCTAATTTTGAGATTAGACTGTGTTAAGTTAACATAACTTTTGCCAACAGGTACTTCATGAATCACCACTTAAATTCGCCACTGTGAATACAAGCGAACACGTTTACATAATTTAATTGACTGCAGTGTGGCAGTGAGGCCTTTGAATATTTCAGATATGACATAATGGAAGTTCATTGCGCCTGCTTTCTGAGTGTACGTTCTGATGCAGATATTCACTGGTGATGATTTTGACACAGTTCACATCAATATAGACCATTGAAAACATTGAACGAATGCTTTCAGTTTACCTTTCGTGAAATACAACGGAAGTCGTATTCTAGACAGTTGTGATTTAGATAATAAGATTGGGAAAAGTATACTTCAGTGTGTTTGTAAAACTATTTATATACTATGTAAATACCAATTTAGAGGATCTAAGCTGCTTTTTCAAACAGTGGGTAGATTTTAGTTAGCAGAAAAGTGTGGATAAATCAATGACTTCAAGTCTACTTTGACTGAACACTAGGTGGAAAGTAACTAGTTTCATGCGTCTAGTCCTTGAGTTAGTTGAGACGAATTTCTGACAGTGAAGATTTATATGTGGCAGTGCACACTGAACCGAGTTTAGATGATAGGAAGCAGTCTGAAGCAAACGCTGGACTCAATTGATGGTTTTCTCAAAACTTGCACTACAGAAAGCCTCCATCAATATACTGCATACAATTTCCTCTATGCATTTTGTTTAAATCTATTAAAGTATGACCTCTAATAGTGTTGTTTACTCTGGCGAGTATTTAAAACACTCACAACATGTAGTTTCACGAGTTTCTACTCGGCTTGAGTAGAAGCATTATCCTCGATGGCAGCTTATCTCAATACATGAGATGGCCATTCCTGAGTGGTGTCCCTTTTTCACGAAATGAAACCCTGCAGGCTTCACAGCTGGCATTCAGCAAAATGTCGTCGTGTATTTCTCGAAGGAGACATGGAATAGTTATCATAATGTTGGACTGGTTTGCGCTACAGATCAGAAGGTACTGTGTAACACAATCTAATGTCAATATAGTGCTTTATTTGAAGATCCTAGACAAAGAAGAAATATCGAGCGATAAACTCCTCTGAAAAATTTGTACATTAAATAAACCCTGTTCAGAATAAAGCCATTAATAATACTATAAATATTAAAGTTTCACGCCGGTTGGCATTCACAAGTCAGCATAGCATATCAACAGCACCGACGACACTAATATCTCGTCTGAAATTCGAATCCATTTCATCAAGTGATGATTTCGGTTTCTCGATTAACTCATCATAAAACTCTTTAGGATAGTGACATATTGGTTACTACTTAGTAATCAGCATCGTGCTGCTAATCTCTTTAGTTCCTGTAACTTAGAACAGGCGGCATCAGGCATCTAATTAAATGTCAGCGTTTATTTATTAATAATAAGTTGGTTAGTTAGATGATTGTTACTTTTTAAGCGAATGACAACAAATAAGATAACAGATACTTAGTGTTAACTAATTATTGGGACATGATTTCCTTAGGAATTGCAGATACGCCTTACTAACTCATGTGTGCCAACCAATACGAAACCTAATTAGAAAGCTTCCTGACGATCGTCTCCGGGTATCTAATAACAACAACAACCATTCACTACAATTATTCCCTAGGATTTCGAATGGAAAATAGCGCATCAACAACACATGCACGTTGTGTGTAGGTGCTTAACACTAGATAATTGTGACCTTTGTTCCTTCCCTTTGAGTTGAAACTTACTGTCATGATCCTGCAGGATAAAATTGGTTCCCCTCGTGTTAGGACTCTAGCTGCCACCGGGGGACATCATAATAGCCTCTCACTGCCTCAACGTGCTCGTGGTTGTCGTCTGAGTGACCAGATGGAAGTAGATTACTGACTCTCCAGTTGACAACTTTCATAATCCACATCCATTCCATCTGCTCTCGCAGACACGCAGCACTTCTGTGTCAAAAATATCTTCTCATTTCTTTGTTTACTCCTGAAGCAGCCTTTTACCAACACGCTATGTCATTTCTCCTCTCCGATTCGAGAGAAGAATAAGATTGTTAATTGAAATTTTTGTATTTGTAATATATTTTCTGTGCGTCGAAGTTTCTGTGGCAGTTTGAAAGCTTTTGTGGTGTAGGATCGCTAGCTCCACGCCCAACCATCCCTCTTTACCTGGACTTGGGACCGGCCAGAAAACTAGCAAGCTAGGAAAACTGGCAGGCCACCAAGCATTTTGACCACATTTTAAACTTGACTGATAGAATTCAGACTGCACCAACCAAGGATTCAAACTCATGACACTAGCTACACCACCTAGTGTCCTATCAGCTTTGAACTTGTATTCCCATCGAATAAGAAAAATTCCATAATTAATGACAAATAGTCAAATTATATCGGTTGTGTCCATTATCTTTCTGAAGTCTTATTCTCTTCTGACTTAGTCCTTGAATGATTTCGTCAGACAAGGAATTTCTAACAATAAAGTTTCTATGAGTGACTCAAGGAGAGTTTAAGTTTGGATTGCATTTATTTTACCAGTTTATACAAAAGTGTACTGGTATAAATTTTAATGATGATAATAATAATACACTTCCACATTGCATTCTACAATCTACCAATGCAATTTATGAAGACGTATTTAGATAATATCACTGATGAGGCAATATGCCAAGAATTAGTTTAGTAAACGGGGCTGTATTAGTGCCAGGAATGAATAGTAATGAATGATTATGGTTGAATTCAATTCTAAAATTAGTTTGCTATAAGGGCTTTCACTATTGTCGTTTTATTTTTAAACCGGTACTGACGATATGCAGTGCAGACATCCAGTTATCTGAAATTGGTTTGAAAACCTCCTACACTCATCACAGGGAATATAATTCGGCTTTTCGAAACCGACGTTAAGTCATTTCTTCTATATGGGTCAGAAACTTTCACTGAACGTTACGAAAACATTTCCAATGTGCTACTGACGAGTTTTATCAGCAGCTGCCTTCGATGGCTGCATATTGATGTTAAGATGACCAGAAAGAATTAGTGACAGGAAACTCTGAGAACGAACCAAACAAGGATCTTTCGCGACAATATTCATTCAGACATCTTTTAAAAAAACTAAATAATTGAGCAAAGAATATACTTTTCGATAATTTTCTCTCCTGCCATGTTTCTCAGTGGATTTCCAAACATCAACCAGCGTGGTTAAATAAAGGATAAACAAAATCTATTCGCAGTGCTATTCTATCCCATCTTGTGGATACAGAACACAAGAATGATGTTGAAGAACCAGCTTTCAAAGTCATTTACCTTATACCAACCAACTTAACTTAACTTCGCCTTAGGAGTTAGTTTACTAAATATTGCTGAGGCTGGCTGTTGGGATCCACATTAAGAAGCCTAATCTGTGTTTCCGAAAGAAGCTAGTTCAGTGAGTAATTGGAGCTAGTAGAACTCTCATAATTGCGATATTTACATAATATTTGTTGAATAGAATGCTGTAAAACTTCGGTCATATCTACTCAGTCAACATCACATCATCTATCGTGTAAGTCTGTGAAGAGAAGAAGGTTGAGACAAGTAATTACCCCTATCAGTGGTTAGTAAATTCCTTGAAGTTTGCTCAATTTCATCTCAGTCATAATAAGGAGTAAAGTAAATTTAGACCATTTTAAATATTATTGAAGAAGATAAATCACTGGAAACCATCAAAATTTGTTACTTTTACAACGAGTTTTGATTTCGTTGTAGATTGATATCAGCAATGGGAATCACTGGATGTCCAAGTTCATTGGATAGCTTTCTTGTTTTTGTCCTTATTATTTCAGTAGTTAACAGGTTCCACTTATATTCAGGTAATGACACTACGGAAATGTCAGGAATCAAAAAAGCTGCTAGAGAAAGCTCTGCAAATAACAAGCCCTGTGCAACAATGAATATCTAATCAATAATAATTATAACAATGCAGTAATAATTTAGCCACTTTATTCCAAACGGTATTATTGAAAACAATGGCATTTACAGTTTTTGAGCAAATTAGACCCTTTTTACATATATAAATACACAAAATATTAAAAAGCACCGGAGAATTAGTGAAATATAATAAATAATAATTAAATAATGCGAAGTCAGTGCTACTTTATGGATAAGAGACTTGACGCGTTATGAACAGCACTTCGAACAAACCACAGACCTTCATCAACAACTGTCTTCGCTGAATACCCAAGAGCAGATGGCCAGAAAAGATCAGCAACAGAGATCTCTGGGAGCGAACCATTCCATCAGGAACTGATTGTGCAACAAATATGCAAGAGAAAACGCAGGTGGATTGGCCATACTCTGAGAAAACCATCAAGTGACATCACTAGACAGGCCCTCGAGTGGAAACGGTGAGCTGGTCATCCAAGGGTTACATGGACGAGATGATATGAAGAGGAGACGAAAGAATTTGAGCAGACGTGGAGCCAGGTGAAAACATTGGCAGAGAACCGAACGCGC